AAGAAATAAATCTGATTCAAGGCATTATTTTACTCACCCCAAAAAAGCTGGAGGATTTTTTAAATTTCACCTGTCAAAAAATTGTTTTTTGAATTTTATTGGAATTGTAGAAAAATTTGTTAATTAAAAACAAATAAAAGGAACATATTTATAAATATCTAATGGATATATGTATATCAAACTAAACTGAATTAATAATTTAATATATTTGAGTATTTCTCTGTTTATAATATCTAAATAAATATTAATATATTGTTTATAATATGTAGTGTCATTATTTCTCCCTTTGTCTCATTACAGAAATGTTTTTTCTAAAAGTCATCATTAATATTTCTACAAAATATTATTCTCATATAATATTATTTGAATATGTAATTAAATAATACAAAATAAATATAATATAAACTAAATATTAAGTGAAAAAAATATCAAATAATTAATTGTATAAAAAAATTTTTTAAATCCTCAAAAATCCTCAAAAATCTTCAAAACAAGAAAAATATCTACAAAAATGTTCACTGGGCTGAAATATATTTTAACAAAACCCGGGTTTTTTTCAAGCTCTGCTGAGTGAATAGGCAGTTCGAAAATAAATAATATATTTTTTTTGTTTATTATGGAAATATTATTATAAATTTATGTATAATAAAATTTGTAATTTTTAGCAATAAATAGGTATTAATAAATTAAAATAAAGTTTAATAATATTTGAAATTTGAGAAAACAATTTTGATTACCAAGTAACGTCACACTGCAATAAATCATCTGTAACTATTTGCTTACGTTGGAAGGCTAAAGCGAAATCTTAAAATTCTCTTCTTAAAAATCTCTTTATAAATTAAGAATATTAAAATAAAATGTCAAACCAACTGAATTCAGGATTCATTAAAGTCGATTTAACGAATTTATCACAAATAATTGTATTCATGGTTTGGGAGTATATTGTTAGAGAAAGTGATGAGTGATATAATGTTCCAGAAGCTCGGGAAATAAAATCAACTTTGTATATTTTTATTATTATTATGGTAATTTTTTTTCAATTTTATTCTAAGTAGCATGAATAAATATTATAATAAATATTATAATTAATGTATTTATCATAGATCATCAAGAGAAAAGGATACTCCGCTTTAGCGGAGTATAACTTATAAGTTATGTTAGCGTCAAACGAGAAGATTCTATTTGTACAGTAAAAGGAAGAATCTGCCCTGAACACAGAGTTCTACAAAAAAAAAATTATACTGTAATCTGAATTGTTGACGAAAAAAAATAAATAATTTAACACATATATTGACTATGTAATGTATATTGTATATATATATATATATACATATATATTTGTAACAATATAAATATATAAGTTTCTAAATAAATTGAATTTAATTATAGGAGAATGTAAACATGATATAGCATTCTTAATGTGGATTAATAGACTATATGAGTCTGAATCTTCAACTGAAAAAATTTGAATATTATTAGAGAAAATCAGCTTTATCTAATGTTGCAATTTCAAAAAAATTTATTACAACTAATGAGATGACAATGAATTTTGAATCTACGACTGAAAATTTAAATAACATTTTGGGTTATGTTGGATATTTTTACATGAACATGATTAATATTTTTATAATTGTTATAATTAAAGAGCATAAAAAACATATTTTATACATGCATCAAAATATCTTCACGACAC